CGGGGGGGGGGGGGCTAGAGACGGAGCAGGCGGTAGGATCGTCTTTTGTCTCCCCCCCCGCCGCAGGTGCTGGAGCGCGCGGGGGAGGCGGTCAAGAAGGCGGAGGACGCGGTGTCGACGGCGGCGCAGGTGGAGTCCATCCCCTACCCCCACGGTACCCGAACCCATCCCCTACCCCCACGGTACCCGAACCCATCCCCTACCTTTACGGTACCCGAGCCCGAGGCAGAGGGCGCGGTAGCGCGGTACCCGCACCCATCCCCTACCCCCACGGTACCCGAACCCGGGCAGGCGGTGGCGGATAAGCTCGAGGCTCGTTTCGTCACTGCACCGCCCGTCCTCGCCCCGCCGCCGCCGCCGCCGCCGTCCCAGGCGCCCGTCGCGCCGCCGCCGCCGCGCGACGCGTCGATGCCGCCGCCTGCAGAGGCGAGAGGCAAGGGGCAGGCACACGGCGCCCTAGAAGACGGAAGCCGCAGTCTTGTGTCTCCCAACCAGCGCTCGAGAGGAGGCGTCACTCCGCTGCCTTCTCCCGCGTTCCGCTGCAGCTCACTGTGCTCGCAGCCCGTCGTACTCCCGCGGTGCTCTGAAGACGCTGCACAGTGCCACACTCCCGCCCCCCCTTGTTGGACGTCTTCACACCGCAGGCTCGGCTCCCGCCCCTTGCCGCCGCCGCCTTAGCCGCCGCAGCCCTAGCCGCCCCCTTCCCCACCCCCTTAGCCACCCCCCTGGCGTCGTCTTCCGTGGCCTCCTCCTCCATCCCCTCCGCATCCTTTTCCTCCCCCCCCCCTCCCCCCCCCCCTTGAGGCTGGCGCCTTCTTCACCAGCACTGTCCACACACCGCAGGCTCGGCTCCCGGTGCGCGCGGCGGCGGCGGCGGCACTCGCGGTGGCGGCTGCTCCCTAGAAAGCGGAACACGCGCTCTTGTATTCCACTCCACCTAACGCTCTAGAGGGCACGCACTCCGCTGTATTCGGCCGCACCCGCGGGCAGTCCGCTGTACTCGCGCGGTGCTTCTGACTGCTCTGCACGAGGCCGTCGCCGCCGCCCTCGCCGCCGCCCTCGCCGCCGCCACCCTCGCCGCCTCCCTCGCCGCCACCACCCTCGCCGCAGCCACCCAGCCCACCTCCGCCAAGCCCGCCACCGCCCTCGCCTCCTCCCGCCCTCATGTCGGCGTCCTCCACACGCAGGTGCTGCTCGCCATATCTCCCCATATCTCCCCCTATCTCCCCATATCTCCCCATATCTCCCGCACGCAGGTGCTGCTCGCCACATCTCCCCATATCTCCCCATATCTCCCCATATCTCCCGCTCGCAGGTGCTGCTCGCAGCCACGCCGCCCGTCTTCGACCAGGCGGTGCGCATGATGCCGCCCGCCGCAGCGGCGGCGGTCGACCGCTCCGCCGCCAGGGCGGCCGCGTACGCCCACGCCGCGCGCGCGCACGCGGTGCTGGCCGCAGCAGCGTTCGCCTCCGCCGCCGGCCCGGTCTGCGTGAGCTGCTGGCAGGCTAGCACCGCCGCGTACGCCGTCGCCGCGGCAAAGACGCCGCTCGCTCTAGGAAGCGTCTAGGAGCCTTCCAGGAGCCTTCCAGGAATCTTCTAGGCAAAGGACGTCGCTCGCTCTCGCCGCGGCCAGCGCGGCGCTTGGCGGGACAGCCGCCAGGCTCTTCCCCGCGCTCGCGGCCGCGCTC